GAAGAGTGTAAACAAAACAATTTGGAATTCGCCAGAACTTTTCCCTAGAGGTGTATTTCCTTGTCCCCCAGCCGGACCATTACCTGAATATCTCTCAATGAAAGCTTATGAAAAAGCCCGAGCCGAAGTCCTGGAAGACTTCAAAGAAAATAAAAAGAACCTTGAGATCTACATCCAATTCGTTAAGGAAAAACTCAAGCTTAATGTGATTGATTCAACCCAAATTCTTGATTCAATCGACTACAACAATATACCTCGTGGCCTACCCCCTTCCAAAATCATCTTGGAAAATTTGGAAACTGTTTTAAATCAGTTCATCTGCAACTTTTGTGAATCAATTTGTATTCAACCTTTAAATTGTTGTAATTGTAAGAAATGGTATTGCTTCAAATGTGCTCTTTGGTTAAGAGAAATTATCACCAAAATTAACTTGGTTCCAGTTCAACACAAAGATGAATTCCTGTGTATTGATAAAGACTGTGTTGTTCGCATTTCCAATGAACAACCATACTCTCGAATTAACCAAATCGATTGGTCATCATCGTCGTCTCTCAAGAAGTATTTCGACGCCAAATTTATTTGTAACCGATCTTTGTGTAAGGAGCAACTTGACGCTGTGAATTATCCAGCTCATTCTTATAACTGTCGCCGTGGATACTTGGAGTATCACCTCAACTTTACAGTTAAAACACCATTTCGCCATGGAGCAATTCGTGAGGAATTAGCTCTGGTACCAAGAAAATTATCAAATTTGGTACCTGCTCATTTAAAAGGAGCCTCTCCATCATCATCAATTCCAACCTTTTGGAACAATAAGTTCAAGCTTTATGCTTGTTTAGTCCAGCAACGTGAAGAAAATCCCGATGATCCTTCACTAGGACCAGTTTCAATTCGTCGACATACCGACTTATCTCTCCAGTGGTGGACAAATTACAAACGGGTACAAGACCCTCACAACCCTCTTTATGACGGGGAGCAATTCATTCAAGATATTGGATTCGAACCTACTGTTGGCCAGAAACCTCATCCAAGTATCTTACCACGTCCTCACACTTTTAAATGGAGATCGATCCCAGGATTTTTACTTCGTGAATCTACTGAATGGATCAAATATTATGAAACTAACAACTGGATGTACCCTGGTCGTATCTACAGAACTAATTCAGTTAGTTCAATAAGTTCAAGTGTGTCTCTCGCCTCTGATGTTTCAGAAGTTGATCAACCATGGATCCGAATTAACCCCTTTACAAGGTTAGAACCAGATCAAAGGCGCGGAGTTGAACAAATCATGGCTAGTTTCCCTAGCATAATGACCCCATCGACCGGAATTCGTGATAAAACTGAAAAAAGAAGATTCAGTGAAGAAACAATGAGAAAAAGAAGAAGACTAAAGGAAGCCTTCGATAAACGACCGAAAGCCGTTCTTCCTCCTCTTGATGAGAAGTTTCAATCAGCCATCGCTGCCAGTGCTATTGATTTCAAGAAAAAAGATACAACTTTTTGTATCACAATGGCCTGTGTTAGAGTCTTGGAAGGTAATAAATTGAAACCAAGACCTTGTTGGATAATAATTATTGATGGCAACCTTCAAGTTGTTTATGAAACTTTTGTTCATCATCCTCGTGTCGAGAGATACGATACTCATTGCCATGGTCTTCGTGAGAAAGACCTTCGACATGCTAAAAGTCTCCAAACTGCTCGAGACCAAGTAATTAAATACCTGTTAGTTGCCGATGTTATCGTAGGTGCAGGAATTTACAACCAACTTTCAGCGTTGGGAATTTCAGAAAGTGAATTCTGTTATTTTAAACCTCACATGAGAGAACTCACCCAATTCTTCTCTCCATACAAAACCTCAGCCATCAACTTGAGCTTGATTGCATTTCTAGTTTTCGGAGGTTATACAATTCCTAATAATGCACATTCACCAGCCTTAGAAGCTGTTACTACCATGCAACTGTACTTGATTTTCTGGAAAGAAATAGAGAAAATGTGTAACGATCTTAAAGATGGTATTCACAATTCAAATGTGACCTCAACTGTTGGTAATACCAAGATATCTTCACTCTTGTATCTTTACTCTTTAAAAGTAAAAGAAGGTAAAGCAGACTGGCCCTCAAATTGGCATCATTATGGACATTTCAAGGAACGAGATGATCCTGAATTCAACTCTAACTGTGTTACCCCTGATGACACCCTTATTGAACAAGGAAAAAGAGTCAAGCCACAAGCCCCCATGTTGCCAGAGATTCAAGAAATTGATGAAATTGAAGATCATCAACCAACCACTACTACAGTTCCAGATGAACCAGTAGCCGGACCATCTCATCAGTATGAATCACCCCATTCATCAACCCAATTGGATGAATTAACAGTATTCGTCACCGACAAACTCAATTCAACTGAGAAAGAAACTCATCCTACTCCCGTTCAGTCAGAATCTGAACCAGAAAGTTCTTCAAGTGGAACAACCACTTCAGATGAAGAAGATAAAAAGGACGATGAAAAAGAATCAACTGAGATTGATTTCGACAAAGCCATGGATTCCCTATTAATCAATATGAACAAGATGGAATCACAATTGAAAAATGAAAGTGTCCTACTCATTACCAGTTCTGAATTGAAATCAGACATGAGATTACCTATTGCTAAATCTAATAGAATCTCATCAGAAAGTTTAAAGAAGTATCTTAATCAAAAGAGACGGAATATTTAAGGCAGGAATTTGACCTCCTTAACCTTTCCCATGGATTCTAGATTCAACCTAGATAATCTCCTCTCTTCACTTCTATTTAATCCCTTTTTCTTAATTACTTTTCTTTTGTCTTAAAGTTTTGCATTTACTTTCATTTTTACCCTCAAGTTAAACTTAGATTATGATTAAGCTTTAATTAACCTTTCGAATCACCATTGATACTCATCATGGGAACAAAAGCTAATTTCCAAGTACCAACCCCTTTTTGCTTTACAAAGCCTAAGAGCTTTTATCATCATTTCCTTTTCCTTTCTTGCTGCTATAAAAGCAATTGACCCTCTCCAATTCATTAGGAGTCTTTCAGGAAGTTTTCTGAAGTTTACTGATGAAGTGTCCCAGTAACTAATTGAGAAAGTAATTTTCAAATTTTGTGTTTTGATAAAATAAAGATAAATATTGTGTTTATTGAAGTCTCTCTCTCTCCTCCACCTTATTCAAAAGCGTGTTTTCAATCAGTAAGATTGTAAGTGAATTACTAGATCTCCGATCCAAAAGAATCTGATCTATGATCTTATAAAATTTTTTGAGGATAAGATCGAATCTCTGAGTTAATCTCAGGTGAACCTTTCCGCTCTAATTTATTTAGAACTGCACCCCCTCAACTTTATATTCAAATTGTTAATTGTTTACAGTTAAACAATAAAAATCAATGTTAATTGTTCAAAGTCAAGTCTATGTTTATGGTTACTGATTTTGTTTGTTTGACATTGATGATTGTCCATTGATTAGTATTTCAATGTAATCATTAATAACTTACCAATTTAGCATATCGATTAAATTAATTGTATGAATTAGTTATGATCATTTTTCATTGGAACCGATTGAATTACCATGAAACTCATGGAAAATCAAATCTTTAAACTTTTATTTCCAATGTTTCCAATAAGATTTGATGTAATCTTCATTCATTTTAATTAAGATGAAAATAGCTAATTCAGTTTCCAACAATCAACAAAGTAATATTATATTCAATATTGATTATAAATATACCGATGATTGTAATAATTTAAATGACAATTTGATTAAGTTTTAAGTAAATTGATCAGGTTTTATTAAGATGAATCAAATTAAATTTTAAATCATTTAATGTTTTGTTTTAACTTTATTATTAGTTAATGATTGAGAGGAAAAAACAAAAATTCCAACTGATTTAACTGAATTAACCTTGAGACAGAGAGTATTTAATTTAATTAATCATATTAACTAAATGAAATCAAGATAATTATCTTTCTTTTATCATGATTTGTTGAAGCAAACACAATTTATTTTGATTGTCATGATAATGTGATAATATAAAAAAGCATAAGGATTAGTTTTAAATGTGAAGATAATCATTTTCAAGATCAAAACTTGATTCAATTGTTATCTTATATCATTTACAGTTGATTTAAATTGTGATTTACTGGTGATAATAATCATGATCCAAGTAAATGATATAGTTGAGTTTTCGAGTGGATTTGTTGAAGGAGAAAGAAAAAGCTTCCAAAGGGGAAAAAGAATGACATTGACCTTGACCTTGGCCTCGGAATCGTTGGTTACGATTAATTTGATTAATCCCCTGTAGTCATTTCTATTGTGATGATCATCTACTGAGAAATAATTTACAGAATCACATTAATCATTATAATAAAAGATTTAATCAACTTTTCGTAATTGTTATTAATCGAGTTGCAGTCGAAAACTTTTCAACCGAAAATGAAAAGTTTCGATTAGAACTTTTTTTTTATACCGAGTTGATTGTTCAATTAAAACCTCATCCCAATTAAACGCGACAGTTAAGAGACTGTTAATTTAACTACAATTTTAGTCTTGAAATGTAATCTAACAATCAACTGATTGTTATTGATTCCATTCAGTTATCAGGGTGATTAGATTTTATTGACTTTTATTGTTTATCTACAATAAAGTTAATTGAGATATTGATCAAGGATTAAGAGCTTCGGATTAACTCATAACTGCAATTGAGATGAAATAATCAGTAGACAATCAGATTGATAGTAATCAATTAATCATAATTATCTATTAGTTAACAGACTTTCGGGTTGATCATTTGCTGAAACCAAATGAAATTAATCATTTTAAATCTCGATCTTTAATCATTTTTACCTTTTTAGATTAAATCGAAATTACCAATTAATCTGTTAATTAAACCGACTGAAGACCGAAACCAATTAATGGGATATTTTCATATTTTACTTTGATTAACTCGGTAAAAAGAAAGCATCAAGTTTAAGAATGATAATAATTTGATAATAAAAAGTAACTCACTTTTAATTGTGTAAATTGTGTTGGTAATTTTGGTGGTTAATTAAACCACAATTAGAGTTGATACTTTTCTTTTGTTTTTCTCTCAAAAATTTACCTGATTGTTACTCTTTTTTCAGAGTTTACGATTGTATCATTACACAGTATCAAAGACACAGGTAATTCAATCATTTGGTTACATGTTAACATCAACTAGACATGAATAGAGTGTCAAATATATAATATATTTATGTATAGTTTGTATGTAAACATAAGATGAAGAGAAAAAGAGAAAAAAAGAAAAGAATTGAGAGAGAAAGAGAGAGGGAGAGATAGAGATAGAGATAGAGATAGAGAGAGAGATGATGATAGATTTCTTTTCATGTGCAGGTAATAGACAATAATTATTAATATTAATATTTGTTTGCGTTTTTTAGTTTAGATTATTTTTTTTCTGTTTTTTGTCTTTATTCACGCATTGATTTGCGTTCTACTAGTTAGTTCCTGATGTAAGTCATGATTTCATGTCGATGATATGATGAGTGGATGTGTGTAGGTTGGTGGTGATTTTTGTGTTCATGGTGAGTTTGTGGATTTATTTATATATGAAAAAGAGAGAGAGAGAGAGAGAAATAAATGGAAGAAAGGAAAAAGGAGAGAGAGAGAAGGGTATTCAAAAAAAACAGAATCTTAGCATTGAAATAAAAAAAACAACTATCGGTGATAAAAATAATATTAATAATAAATCTTTGTAAAATATAATTATTAATATTATTGAGAAATATATTTTATATATATAATTTTCGTGTTATGATTGTTTGACTCAATTCTCAAGCTTAAGTTTTTGTTTTTCACCAACCATGTACAGCAGCACTCACCTTATCAATACAATCCAGATCAGAGCGTAACTGTTGCTGTAACTGTTTCAACTGATTAATTGTTAAATTTTCTAATTCTGATGCTCGATTAAGAGTATGTAAAAAGGGACCACCGCTCATTTGTTCCACTTCTTTTCTTAGAGTGTTGATCGTCATGAAAGCCTGGAAAAAGAAGAGAAAATAATTTAAATATAAGAGAATTAAAAGTTTGCCATTTTTCCATCATTGGTTGTGTGGTATTTGTTAATTGTCAATAATCAATTGAATAATAACCTCATCTCTTTGTTGTTCTAAAAGTTTCTCTCTTCTTTTGGCATCCTCTGCTTCTCGTTTCCATACTTCAACAGCCTGTGATCAAAAAGAAATAAGATAATGAGAGAATAAATTAGTTTCATTTGTATATAAGGAAAATGAATCATTTTTCGGATAATTAACAGGAAAATTTGAAACAAAAAATCTACTCAGAATTCTTACGCTGCTTACTTTCATTAAATTCTCTTCCCAATTGTTCCATTTTACTTTACACAAAGCCAACTCTTCTCTTAATCTTTGATTTTCTAGCATTGAGGCTGCAGCCTGAACGACACTGCTTCCTGTCGATGTTGGATCGACTGAAGATGGTGACATGTTAGTTCCGCTTGTAAAGTCATAAAGACTTGATGCAGCTGATGAGGAGACGCCATGAGCAGCAGCATTGAGTGATGTTGTCCTGTTATAAGAAGAAACTCCGAATGCTCCAGCCGAATGAGCTCCAAAAGATGCAAGGGGAGATGCATTCATTGGTGGAGATGATAAGTTTGCTATTGTAGATCGATGTCCTCCCAATCTTGCTCCTAAGGATAAAAGAGTCAAAAGAAAAAAGAAAAAAGAAAAAATTAGTCATTTTATGATCAGCTGATTAAAGTGTTTTCTTTTTCTTTCCAAGAAACAAATGTTGACCAAACTTACCAGGAATATTTACAGGGGCAGTCGATCCTAATAAAGACGCTTGACCAGGACTTCGTCCAAGAACTGAATTGTTGTTCGAAACAGGATCAACATTATCGACTAAGTTATTACCATTACCACGATTTTGAGAGGTTGGTCCTAACTCTTTCTCAAGTGCAGCTTCCAAGTGAATATCTTCAAGACTAAGATCTTCAACTGCAAGACCCAAACATGATTCAACTGTATCAGCTGTTGATGAATAAACAGGAGCACCAAAGAGACTCCCGCTTTCCCTATTAGTTGTTAAACTGCTAAATAAACTAGAATGATTTCCGCCTGAGGCAAATAAGGATGAAGAGGGAGTAGAAAGTTTTCTGTTTGCATGAGGACCATTGAGAAGTAAATTATTTTTCTCTTCGACATTCTTGAAATATGATGAGAGTAAAGTTTCACTCATATTATTGTTGGCAGCCGCCATACTAGAGGTATGTGCATTCGAAGATGAATAAGATCGAGGGCGAGCAATAGGACCTGGTCCAGAGGTTGGATTATTTGTCGTTGAGGTTGAACCAGAATTAACAAGGAAATTATTTCCTTGACCAAGATTTGCTTGTGAACCTGTTGTTGGTGCTGTACCTAAATTGCTCATTGGAGGTGTTGTCTCTCTGTTAAACAATTGTGATTGAAGATTACCAAAGTCGAAACTTGTCCCAAAATGATCAGGTAACGATGAAGCAATACTATTATTTCCCGTGCTTGGTAATTTAGATTGATTATTATTACCGTTATTATTATTATTGTTATTATTGTTGTTGTTGTTGTTAAGAATAGGCCTGGCTATTGTTATGTTATTAGTTGATGTGATATTTGAATTTGTTGAAGTACAATTATTACTTGATGTTGAGACAGTTGTTGTGATACAATTTAAGGTACCATTACCTGTTGAAGGAGCTATTGTGGTTATGTTGTTATTACTTTCATACTCTCCACCATTAGCACTAGAAGAGATTGATAAAGATGTTGTTGTGGTTGTCGTAGTGGTTGATGGTGGCAATTTACTTGACAACAAAGAGGCTAAATCTGTACTATTGTCCATATTTAAATCTCTGGCAGCAGAAATTTCATCTATAGAATGAATGAATGAAAGATAATAGAAGAGAAATTAGAAAACAACAAATAGATTAGAATTGACAATTAAATTGATCCATTTTGATTTGATTAATGTAAACATACTTTCTATGTGAGCAAAGGCACAAAAAGCCCCTCGCGGACAATAATTTGTTTGTTGCATATCATTACACTTAGTTGATTTGTAAATTTCTGGATGAAATTGTTGCTCTGTCCTAGTGTGACAATAAGCACATGCATCACCAGCTTCACAATTAGTTGGATCTCCCCATTCATCACCTTGTTTAACACTTGGACAGGGTGTTGATCGATATTTATACTTCTTTGGTGATCTTCGTCGATCCTTATTGTTATGGTACTGTGGACAAGCATATCTACCAAAGCGGGAAAAGTGGGGAGAGAGAGAACAAGAAAAAGACAACAAGATAAATTAATGAGAAGAACAAGAAGAAAAAAAAATTGATTGACATTAATCAAATTTTGACATTTCATCTATTTACCCTTGACGGCATAATCTTGGAGGCCGTTTACAAACTTCCGTCTTATAATTAGCGAGAACATAAGTAGTATCAAGCCAACGTGGATCATCTGTAAGAGCATTTCTTTCTTTATCAAGAGAATTGGGTCCAATTAAAGCATTAATACCAGAATTTGCATCAACAGTTATTCCAGGAGAAGAAGCAATTTCACCAGGAAAACCAGTATTATTACCCAATTCAGCTGATCTTAATTCACTTATATCATACACAGGATTTCTTAGATCATGCATACCATGAGCGAAAGCACAATGAGCACCATTTTTAACACAAAATCCTCGGCTATCAGTATCATAGACACAAATTCCAGTTTTATAATACCTTAAATGGTAACGTCTTTCAGTATCACCAGCAGTCCGATGAAGATAAGGACATTCATCCCCATCAGGACAGATTCCAGTGGTCTCATCATATTTGGTACAATATATATCAGGTGAATAATTAAAGCTTCCATCTCTCTTCCTGATGGGTCGACGTCTTCTTTGATTCATGAAATGCCAATGGAAACAAGTGAACGGCTTATGATTGGTACATTTATGTTGAAGAAACTGGGGACACTGATCACACCTAAATTCTTTCAGGTAAGAATAATGTTGAGGTTTTTCAGCTTGGGTTGATAAAAGACTATTTGTTGATGATGTTGTTGTTGCTGTTGCTGTTGTTGTTGATGATAATGATGAAGAAGAAGATGATGTTATTGTTATAGCAGAAGATGAAGAAGTGGTTGTTGTTGAAACAACCACAGTTTTATCATTAATAGATGATGATGATGGCATTCTTGCTAATTTAATCGATTATTGGAAAAACACCTTAATTAACTTATTAAGATTGTTAAATTAAACATAAACAACATTACATTGAAAATGAAAATTTACTTTTTCTCTTTTCTCTTTTGTTTTTCTCTTTCTTTTGTGTTATTTTTGACGTTTTTGGCTCGAAATTTATAGGATAAGCCGCTGAATCACCAGCTTGTTCTTTTCATAAGTTCGGCTCCTCATTGAGCCATCACGAGACTTTTTTGTTTACTTTTTTTTCATCACAAAGAAGAAAAAAAATTAAAATTCTTTACCCACCAGATGGCGACTTGGTCTCAATGTAAATGGAAAATGTTTGTGGCTCCATCTGATGTTTACTCGTAGAAAATATTGAATCAAATGAATTGAATATTTGTCACAATTAATTGTGGAAAATGTTTTGTCATCAAACAATTAAAGGTTTAATATTAGACCATAGAATTTAGTTTGATTGTTTTGTTTTTTTCTCTTGTACTGGAAATGGTTTTATTAGTTGTATTATGAAAATGAATGATTAAATAATCTAATTGTTACCTGATTCTTTCTAATCATTAAGTTATAATTGTCATTATAATGTCAAATGAAGTTATCATTTTAATGGTTTAATTATTAGAAATGAAGTAATCATAATTGTAAAAGACACTAATTGATTTGTTAATTTCCATGAGTTTTTGCTTCTTTCACTACAATTAAAATGATAACTGTATGATTAAGGTTAGTGATCATTAAGCATATTAAATTGGGAGCATAAATGATAAATTAATGTTGATTAACAATCAATCTCATTTAGTTCTCTCTCTCTCTCTCTCTCTCTCTCTCTCTCTCTCTCTCTCTCTCTCTCTCTCTCTCTCTCTCTCTCTCTCTCTCTCTCTCCCTATTTGGTGTAATGATCAAGGCAGAGGAGGAGGTTAAGGTGGAGGTGGAAAAAGGAAGTGGGTGAAAAAATAGATTACAGTCAAGTACCTAAAATTGTCCACTTTTTGTACAATGAATTTGTAGAGCGGGAATATTGAAATTAGTAAAAATCGATCAAATATTTTTTTCGAAAAACTTAATTTAATTCATCAAAGGTAGAAAATAGAGAATCATTTATACTTAATTGTTGTAAAAATTCAACATGAGTTGGCAAATCAGGAATATAAATACTTAAATTAGTTAAATTAGTTACAATTTGGTCAATATTTTCTTCAACAATAAGCTCATCAACTTGATTTACTTGAATCAAACCTGATTTTCTCCAACAATTAACAATCGTCTCATTTTGAACTTCATACCAGGACTTACATACCCATTTGATTGCTACATTTAATTTAATTTCTTTTTTAATTTGATCAATTTTTTTCCCGCCTTTGAACTCATTATAAACGTGATTGATTAAATTAGAAGCAAATTTTGATTTAAATGATTTTATGATACCACAATCAAGGGGTTGGAGGTGACTAGTTGTATTGGGTGGCAAAAATTCAAATTTAATTCTTGGATAATCAGACTGATTAACATGATGACCATTGAAGTTATCAAGAATTAGTAAAATATTTGAATTTTTTTCTTCTAAATTTTCATGTAATTTATTCAACCATCGTTGAAATAATTGTGATGTTACCCAAGCTGATGAAGATGAATCATAATCAAATTCGTAATTGTTTAAATCATTATCTCTTAACCAACGAGGATTTTTAGAGTTACCAACAATTACAGGTAATTCTTTGTTACCTGATCTAGAACAACACAACATCAATGTTACTCTTTCTTTACATAATTTACCTCCAAAATGCTCTGTTTTCGAGAAGAAATATGATTTAGATGGTAACAATTTATAAAAAAGTGATGTTTCATCAACATTAAAAATTTGATCATCACAATAAAGTCTCATTAATGGTTGAATATTAACTCGATATTGATCAACAGTATTTGTATCAACATCATTTGATTCACCAGAAAGATTACCAAACTTTAAATTATTTCTCAAGCAAAATTTACGTAACCACATATTGCTACACTGTAACTCGAATCTACCTTGATTATCACCAATTAATTTCCCTTCTTTCTTGATTAACCAGCCACCTATGGGAAAACCTTCATCTCGATATTCTTTTAGTACTTTAATTAGCTCATCATCATGATCTTTAACTTTCTTTTCAACTCCAACACTATCAATAAAAAAAATTATTAGAATTTGTTGTTGATTAATTTTCAATGATTAACTTACTGTTTGAACTTAGTTTTATTTTTTGATGATTTTCTTATATTTTCCTCGTTATTTTTATATCGTTTAATTGTTTTGATTGATACCTTATATTTATTTTTCACATAATTCAATCCAAATTCACTATAATCATTGAGAAGATTAATTTTTTCACTAATTGTTAACTGTCTTTGAATCATTTTGTTTACATTTAAAGAAAAATGAACTAAATTAAATTCGACGATTGAGCTTATTTCTAATTCTACTAGATGGAGCTATGATCGATTGGACAATTTTGGGTACGGACAATTTTAGGTACTTGACTGTATTTCATTTTCAATAGAATCGAAATGATCAAAGGTAATTTATCAGCCATTTAATCATCTTCTTTTTGGTAACAATTTAATCATTTACCACCATAATAATCATGATGATGATCATTTTTATTGACAATAAAATTCATTTTGTTTCCGGTGAAAATAATAACGATTAACATTTTCACAATGTTAATCACAATCATCAATGATCAATGATAAAGATATTTATTAATATAACATAAATATAATAATATATACGTTTACTTTTAATGGTTAAAATAAATTGATTGTAGAGGAAATGATTTGATAACATGAAACAATTCACAGATTTCAAATGATTTCTGATAAACTAATCAATTGGTTAGACATTATTAAAACGGTAAATCAAATTAAATAATTGTTTCAACTTGTAACAGTGAAGATTAATCAAAAGTAAAGATAAACTATTACCTTAATTGTTGATAAAACTCATTATTTATGTTTAATACTCTAATCAATCAAACAATTAGTAGTTGATTACCTTAAACACCAAAAATAATTGATCAATTGTCTATTGATCAACAACAATTAAAATCTACTGAGGATTATATTTACTATTACATAACCTAAACTAATTTAATTAGTCATTAAACAACCAACCCTTACAATATGATTCTACATGAATGTAAATGTGAAAAATAAACTCACTCATAATTAACACAAGGCAGTAACAATTAAGAGGCAACAACAACAATTAATCATCAACAAGAAGCAGAAAACAAGGTAACTTAAAACAGCGGAGAAAAAAAAAGTTTAGCTAAAAAGATGAATGAATATGAGAAGATAAAATTGATGATAATGTTGCTGTTGTTCTGATGATGATCAAGATGATGATGATGATGATGTTGTTGGATAGAAGGAGGAAGAAGACAAAAAGCAAAAAAGAAAAATAAAAAGACATTAAAGTTAAGGTAAGATGAATGATTCTATTGGGATCATTATTCATTGGAAGAACAAGAAAAGTCTCTAAATCTTGACTCAAAACAATTATTTACTCTGATAATGTTTTCCATGAAAAGACAAAGACCTTCCTCTCCCCTGAACCTGCAACTCCTTTTCCACCTCATTCTCAATCATCTTGATCATCCAGTTACTCAACAATATCACTATTAACTCACAAAATTACAGATATATTATCATAAAGCACTCACAGGGAATCAATTGATATTAGGATAATTTTCATTTTCCCTCCCAGATAATTATTATTATTATTCACATTGGGAGACAATTTTGTTGCGTTCCCAAAAATAAAATAAAAGTAAATTAAAAGGAAAAGGGAAAACTACAAATTTATTGGTGTTAATGTTAAAACAAAAGTAAAAGTAAAAGCTAAATATTACACCAGAGAGTTTACGTTGCCACTTCGGCCATAAGTACGTAACTGACCTTAGAAAAGAGAAAATTACTAAATATAGAAAGTAAATGGAAGATAATTGGAAGATAAAGATGATGAACATCTGGCAACTTAGATCATTAGCTAAGGAGCAAAGGTTAAGAATGTGGGGGTATGAAATGGGGGTATTCAAAAGTTAAGTACAAAATGATCAAATTTCAAAGAAAACATTATTATAAATGAGAAAAGTACAGAAGTACATTTAAAGTGGAATTTGGACCTCAACAAATTTCAACACAAATCATATGAAATTATCATGTTTATATGAATCTGATCACAGAATCATCTTCATCTCTCTCTCTTTCTCTCTCTCTGAATCTCATTAAATGACAATCAAATTTTGAACAATAAAAAAGCAAAAATTAGTTATATTTTTGTAGTAAATGAAACTAATACAATTACTATTATCAAGAAATGCCATTAATTTGATAACAATATAAGAAAAGGTAATAAACAAACTAGAAAATAAATAAAAGATAATAACAATAACAATAATAATAATAAATAATAACAATTGACTGATTGTAACATGATAATGATGAACAAGATAATGATGATGATGATGAAAAAAATAATTACATTTTTACAAAGAAAATAATATTACTGTTATCATGCTGATTATCAACTGAATTAGTTAGTTTGTTAACAATTTAGTAAAAAATAATAATTCTAGGTGAAAGTTACATTGAATTGTATTAACCATAAAAACTGTTATTTTTTTATTATTATGGTTTTCATCCTTAATCATGTTGATGATGATAACAGGAAAATATTATATTTTGACAGAAAACCAACAATTTGAAAAGCTAATAAAGATTACAGTTAAGGTAATAAACCAGATAATCTGTAATAATGATCACAGTTAATGTGTTATTGTCAGATCTTAACTAACATCGAGTAATAATCTTAATGATAATCAAGAAAATTTTCTTCCTACAATTGAAAATGGGAACAAATTATCACATAGAAAACTCGAATTGATAGAAAATTGTTTCTTCTTCTTCTTCTTCTTCTTCTTCTAAACTTTCATCAGAATTTTGTTCATTTTCTCCGTTAAATTTTACTCTAAATAAGTTTACAATGATAACCGAACACAATTCTGCCAGAGAAAATGTTTCGAACTGTTAAAGAAAAATAAAAGAAAAGTTTTGATAATTTATTTCTCATATTCGATAACAAAATTTACAGAATTTTATTCTTTAAACTTTTCTCTCATTTTCTTTCTTTCTTCCTTCTCTCTTACCAATTCTATTCTTCCATAAAAATTTTCCACCCTCAGGGTATATTCACTGATATGATATTTCTCCAGTTATTCTAATACTAATAATAAAAATGAGAAGAACATTTTTATCATCAGAAAAGGAGGATAACTTTTTTTTTCTTACGGAAATTGTTATTCTATTAATGATGATGATTAGATGGATTCTTCAGAATCATAATTCTGATAAACTTTTCCTCTCTATCATGGATTTCAGTTAATTCTGATGAAAGGTTAATTTAATATAACAATAATAATAAAAGGTAAGGATATATGATATTTTTTTTTCATTTGATTTTCACTTGATTGCTAATACATTTTTTATGTTTATTATCATCGTTATTATAACTATGATTATATTTAAGTCAATATTATATTGCCATAAATTGTTATCATAAAAATCTTGTATCTGCAACAATTTAGGTCTCAAAACATTACAATTTACTTTATTTACTCCCTAAGGTCTTTTATATCATCATCATCATCATCATTATCATCATTGTTTACACCATTAAATTACATTATGGGAATTAAAATTGTATCTACAGGCAACATTGATTCCCTTTAAATCAGTAACAATCAACTTGATGGATATTATAATTTGTATTTGGATATTAAAAACTTTTTCCTCATGTCAATAATGGTGATTGATTAACTAGTAGTATGTTGATTGTAATTAATCTGATGATCGATTAATTCATATTTCAACTTTAATTATTAGAGACAAACAACAAAAAAAATCGAACCAGAATTTGATGATTACTTTGATTAGTAAATTGATCACCAGATGACGTTATTATGTTTACTAATGAAGTAAAATTAACTTTGACAATTAGTTGATTGTGAAAAATTTGTAGGCAAAGTTTTGTCAATTAATCATGATGATCAAGTAATTTGATGGTTACGTTGATATTGATTGATTCAAAACAATACCATGGGAACCACTGAGATTGGAAAATGTTAATTTGGTTGAAAAAAAGTGAATGAAAAATGATTCCAATTGGAGCAATTAAATCAAATGATAACAATTAGTTGAAAATTGAAATAAACGGATACGAAAAAATATCGATCAATCCTTTTTTTTACAGTTCTATCATCATTAAAGTTATTAATTATTATTGTTAATGATTATTTTTTAAATTGTAAGTTTGAAATGATTAAAATATCATTAGAAACTATTTGGAAAGTGATTAACTTGATTGTTATTTGAATAATTTGTTTTCAGGGCAACACTAGGGATAGAAACCCAAATGACATTAACTAAAGTGTCTCAACTGGCAAGTGCAACTGTGAAAATGATAAAATAACAAAATAAATGAACATTTTATTCAAATTGTGATTCATTACCAACAGAACTTGTTACAATAACAGAGAGAGAAAGAGATGATGATGAGGGAAAAAGATAAATAGACAGAGAGAGAGAGAGAGAGAGAGAGAGAGAGAGAGAGAGAGAGAGAGAGAGAGAGAGAGAGAGATGAAAATGATAAGAGTTAATGGTTACTTTTCCAGGGCTGGTTTAACTAATGACTCTGAAGGTATTAACTCATTAATCAATCTGTAAAACCTAATTACGATTACTCACTCATTCTGGTCTCTTTTATCTTCCTCTTATCATCTTCATCTTCTTTTTTTTCTTTCTTTTCTTTCTCTTTCAATATCTCTCTCTCTCTCCCTGTTTCTCTTTGTCTATCAGTACCAAATCTGTTTAATTTAATTGCATTGAATTAACTTAACACAAAATCAATCAGAAAACCTAATGAATTACTGGTTTACCCCCTCGAGCAAATTAAATTAACATAAGAAACAAAAGCAAACAGAAATGATTAGATTTTGTTTCTCATTGAATCACTTGATTAACTCTCGTTAATCAGATTTATTTCAAGATGTATCAGATCAATTTAATCAAGTTAAAGCAATAAAATAATAATAATTGAAGATAAATCATTTGATCAACAAATAAACATCACATAGAGAGAGAGAGAGAGACAAGAAATCATGAGATTAAAATAATCTTTTACCTGTAAATTGAATCTCATCTATTAATAGATTAGTGAATTAGTCTTAAAGAAAGTTAAAATAACTCAAATTGATTGTGATAATTACGTTAATCAGATCAATAGTAAAATTAATCTCATGTTTAATATTTCCCATTCATTAACCAAATGTCAGTGATTAAAATATTATAATCTAGAGTCATTATGATTAAACTATAAGCGGATATTAACGTGCTGACCATTAGTTGATTCTGTGGTTTGTTATTATCATAATGATAATATTTCTGGTTGAGTTAAAACCTTT